AGCCTCCATAACTTTACCGGTTATACAAGTTAGACTGATTGGCCTATAGTTTGACAAATTACTTCTATCCCCTGTAGGCAATTCTCGTGAGACTCATAAGACCCAAAGGAGGTGTTTATAATATGATATGTTTTTATTATTTAATTAATTTCATTTGGTGTAAGTTGCTATGTTTTGGAGCCGCATTCCCCTAACCCTAACCCTATTTGTCCCATTGGATATATGCATTTTAGTGTGTGATTTTAGTTTACGCAAGGTTGTTCAGGAACGCATTACTCACGTTGTAACAGGACTGACTGTTATTATTGTAGCACGGGCAGACCAAGGCATTGTGGTGATGGCAAATAAATAAATAAATATCCGTCCTTAAAGAAATAGCACAATAAGCAACAATATCACATCGACAAACATGGCAGACAAACACGGGGAGGTTACACACTAAACGGGAAGGCTCCCACACAGTAGGAAGTTACACAACACTAGAGCACATCAGGATTACACATACAACACAGATAAAGGCACATGCGATAACCGGATACACAGCACAACAAGTATCCAAGTGTCTACACTAACAAATATAAACAAGGGCTATATTCAAGACATACATGTGGCTACAGTATATACATGTGCTCGCAAGGTATTCCGGGACATGCAGATGTTGCTGGCACTGCACTAGGTCTGCAATGAAATGCATATTGGTAAAGCCAAATCCCTAATATTATCATTATGCATTGTTGCATTATTAATCAAAAAAATCACTATCCAAATCATTCGGGTCACTGGATGCCTTAGTGATTGGTTGGCTGTTGATGATCAACTCTGCCTCACATAAGACTGTTTGAAGGCCTTCCTCATCGAGAATTTGTTCTTTTGCAGTGGAATTCAGCACCTTTCTGACTGATCTTAACAACCTCTCCCACGCTCCACCATAATGCGAAGCAGCGAGAGGGTTGAATGTCTACTTAATTCCATGCTGGTGGAACAGATGCTGAAACTCTGAGGTGTTCCAGTCAGCAATGGCTGCCTTCAGCTCGCAATTGGCAGCAACAAAATTTGTCCCGTTATCTGAGCGAATCTCCTTCACTTGTTCTCTCCGTGCTATGAAGCGCCGGATTGCATTTATGCACAAATCTGTGTCTAATGACGAGGCCAGCTCGATGTGCACTGCATGAATGGCTAAACGAGTGAATATGACTCCGTATATTTTCAAGAGGGTTCTTCCACGCCTCACCTCGAATGGTCCAAAATAATCTACACCTACTTGGGTAAAGGGTGGATCATCTGGCATCACTCGCACTTGTGGAAGATCAGTCATTAGTTGTTTTCCAACCTTTCCATGCAACCGACGACATGTCACACACTTTGCAATGACCTTTCTGATGGCTGTATTGCTGCTCGGAATCCAAAACCTCTGGTGCAATCCAGAGAGCATGTGATTGCGCCCTCCGTGCCCAGTCTCTTTATGTATCTGTTGGAGGACTAAATCCGCAATGTGAAAGTCTCTGGACAAGATGACAGGCTGCTTGCTATTTTCTGGCTTAGCTACCCGACTCAGTCTCCCACCAACTTGCAACAGATCATCCTGAAGTACAGGGTTCAGCTTATACAAGTGACTAAAGCTGAAATCTCTTCTGAGAATTTCTCCCTTTGACAGAATTTCATTATGTCAAGTTCTGCTTGATCCAGTTCTTCCACTGCAAGTTGTGTATGCCTAAAGCTCGTCTTCAATCTGTCAATCTGACTTTGGATCAGATGTTGACCATGATCTAAGTTGTTCTCCACATTGGCCGCACACAGCTCTTTGCGTTTTTGACAGAGACTCCAT